CGCCCGCCCGACGACCCCGGTGAGCGCAGCAGGCGAAGCTGCTGCCTTGTGCGGAGAGCTCTCGCGCAGTCCGTCTCGCCCGCTCTCGACGGGCGGGCAGCAGCTTCCACGTAATCGCCTGCGACCCTGTACCTTCTCCCCGGAGAAACCAGGCCCCCCAAGCAGGCGCTCCGCCACTAGCCCGCGGCCCTGTTTCGCCAGCCGATGATCCCAGCAGCCAGGCAGTGCCTCCTTCCTATTACCACCGTGGGTGCAAGGAAGGGAAGACGCCGAGGGGGTTGGCACAGACCAGCTCGTTGAGTGAACGGGGAGTTACGAGCGCCCTGCCCATCGACGGTGATCCCCAGCGCCGCAGGCAAAACGCGAACTTTCGGCAGGAGCAGCCGTCTCCCTTTCAAGCCACCTTCAGCTCTGGGCAGAACGAAAAACCCGATAGTTTGTCTCCAGCCGATGAATCAACTGTACATTCTTTACACAATGAAATCATTGTCTGGAAAGGAAAATTGTCTTTTAGCCTCTGACATTAAAATAAAAGAACCCCCGTGAATATGCTTAATGTAGCATGGAACACAAAAAACAACCGCATTAGATGTGAATAATAATTCCTAGATGTGTGGCTATTTGATTCAAATGACCTGCAGGATGCACACCTTCTAAGAAAAAGATGCAGTTACTAAAGAAACACCCCATCCCTCCTGATAGTTTGCCTTTTTTAATTTTGTTCTAGAAATCTAAAAATTGGTGAGTGTGGTGTAGGAATGAGAAAGTGTTGACTGACAAAGGTAGGGTTGCCAGTTGTCCTCTTTTTAGAGGATATGTCCTCTTTTTTGGGTGTCCATCTTGTGGGCTCCTTAAAAACTGATGAAAATGTCCTCTTTTGTGTTGAAGGTTAGGAATATTCCTAGTTAGTAGCAATTATCACAGCTTAAAGAGGAGAGGTATTTAAAATGAGATTTGTCATAGTGATCACTTGTGTGAGGTAGTCCATTGTGAAATATGTCCTCTTTTTTGCTTTTCAAAATATGGTAACCCTAGTAAACTTGTAAGGTCATTTTGCAGATGCAAAACAGAGTTCGGGCATTTCTTGTGAAGGGAGGAAGAAGAGAGCTGGGTTTTCCTGTGTCTAGAGAGAGAGCTGAAGGTTTGCAAGACCCCCTTGCCGCTGTCATCTCACTGCTGCCTCTGGCAAACGGATTTTGCCAGCTTCTGGAGCTGTTAGAGTAAAGACAAAATAAATGGATGTTTGTTTATAGTGCATGCTGCCTTTCCAGAGACCTGCTTGAGGAGGCTTGCAATTAAAACAATAACATAAAATCATTCTAACACAGCCATTCAAAACAAGCAGGAAATAAAAACAGTATCACATCAGGCAGCCTAAAATAATATGGATAAAACATTCCACAGACCTGAAGAAGAACCCCTAAAACAGCCAAATAATGTATAAAGCATCAGAATGTCTCTCAGGTCACTCTGAATTCTCTGAAACACTACGAACATAAGGAAAGAAAAGAGTGGAGATGCCAGGAAGTCTCTTGTAGCATCATTTTCGAAGACTGATCCTGGACACGTGCAGTCAAAAGAGGGAGCTGGTTTTGTGTCCACGTACAGGATGAGGCCTAGCCCTGCAACCTATTTGAAATATGGAAGGTCAGGTATGTAGTCAACTTAGCCTCCCTGTGTTGCTTTCTGCACATGACTGCATGCACCCAATAAGTGTCCCCAGTATACACTACATGTTCGTCATTTGTCTGTATCCCCCCCTGGTATGGTCCAAGATCTGAAGTCACATCCCACTAAAGCCAGTCGACTGAGGACATCACTACCCTGGTCAATTTCCTGGTGTCAGGAAATCCTGGTGTCAGGGCAGAATAGTAAACAAAATACTCTTGTTAAGCGTTTTTCAGATGGAAGCAATACAGTGAGGAGAGTCTCAAAAAGTGTTCACCAGAGATGCTGAAATTACTTTCGGCATGGTGGCATCTCACCAGTTTGCAGTGCGCAGGTTAAGATATTAACGGTTTCATCAGAAGTCCCATCTTTACGGTTTTAGTCTAGGACACAGAGAGAGACCACATTTATGCCTCCAGAGGAAAGCATGAATTTAGAAAATATATTCTTGGAGACAAGGGGTCGGATCTGTGGAGCGACTGCTTCTCCCTCCTCCATCAGTGAAGATGCAGAAGGAGTGAGTTCACACACACACACACACACACACACACACACACTGCAGCCTCTAGAGTCTCACAACTGTTAGCAAATAATACAGGTCTCTTGACCCTGGTATAAACTTTCTCAGAGCAAAAAACCGTGGGGGGAGGGGAAAGCAGGAAAGGTTCCCAGACATGAGCACCTTCCGCTGACATCTCTGGATAGCACACAGACTGAATATTTTTAAGACTGTTCACAGAACAAGAAAATATGTACCCAATTTTGGGGCGGGGGGGGTTAGTTATAAAGTCACATTTTTGGAAACCTACTGTTTGATTATAAAGTTGCTATTTTGTCTGTCAATCATATGGTTATACATTTTAAGCAACTACATGTTAGTAACAAAAGGCATTTTTCACATCCCTGTTGTAAACTCTCTTAGCCTGGATATCCTGTACTGATTATGAGCATGTCTAAATGCACTAATTTATTTAAAACATTTTTATGCTACCTTTCCAGATAAAAGTCTTCACTCACAGGTGAGAGCCAGTGTGGTGTAATGGTTAAGAGCGGTGGACTCTAATCTGGAGAACCGGGTTTGGTTCCCCATTCTTCCACATGAGACCAGCTTGGTGACCTTTGGTCAGTCACAGTTCTCTCAGAGTTTTCTCAGCCTCACCTACCTCACAGGGTGTATGTTGTCGGGAGAGGAATGGAAGGCAATTGGAAGCCACTTTGGGACTCCTTTGGGTAGAGACAAGTTGGGTATAAAAAACAACTCTTCTTCTTTTTCTGGGACAGACAGATCTCCCTGGGGAGGGAATTGCATTATTTTGGTGCCATGACTGAGAAGGCCCTTTCTCAGGTTGCCCCCTGTCTAACCTGCATGATGGTGGCAGTTGAAGAAGGGCCTCCAAAGGTGACCATAGTGATGGGAGAGGTTCATAGGGGATTAGATGGTCCTTAAGGTATGCTGGCCTCAAGGTTTATAGGGCTTTGGGGCCTGGAAGCAAGTTGGCAACCACTATGCGACTGAACAACAACAACAAAGATGGGATATGACTGAATGATGTTCCATCTATAGAGCCACTCTAGTCTGCTTTCTGACCACAGCGTTTTGTACCAATTATACCTTCTAAATACTCTTCAAGGGAAGCCCCACATAGCACACATTGCAGTAATCTAATCTAGACGTTACTGCAGCAGCAAGATCTTTTTTGCCCAGGAAAGGCTGTAGCTGATTCACCAGCCAAAGCAGGCGAGAAGCGCCTCTGGCCACCACCAACACCTGCAGCACCTCTAAGCTACAAACCTGTTCCTTCCAGGGGAGTACAACCCCATCCTGACTTCATGTCTGAGTGCACTGAGAGCACCTGGCTCTGCATGTCTAGGTTATAGGAATCATAGTGGATCCAATGCAGCAGCATCTCTCCAGTCTCTAAAAGGGTTTGGCAAGCCCCAGCCTGCAAGCTGAACAGCAGCACACCATACTGTTTTCCTAGGGAGGCAAAAATCAAATCAAATCAAATTTATTAAGAACAGTCATAAGACCAGCAAAATAAACCAAAATAGTACAACACCGAATCTACGATATAGAATCCTTGCAGCCTTAAATACTAAAATATAAAACCGGTCAATTCCGTCATTAATGGCTCGAGTTACAGTACATTCTACGCTTTTTAATTACCAAATAACAATATTTAGCAACATTGCGTGAAACAGAATCATAAGTATCGGCCAATAAAAACTTCATCAAACATTCCTCGGCATATGTAAAATAATTAGCCAAGGGTTTAAAACATGAGAGAAGGGATATCAACAACTGCTGTCTCTCTTCGTCGTACTTAGGACAATGGAGTAATATATGGGAGGCCGACTCCACCTGTTCTAACAGACAGGAGCAAATTCTCTGGTGCATGGGAGTCCGGGTATATCTACCATAAAGTACTGCTGAGGGTAACGCATCGCCGTGCTCTAGTAAACGCCCATCTATAGTTAGGGTTTTTTATGAGACCAAGGTAAGATGCGGCATTTAAACTTGGTCCCTGCTTTAGTCTCATTATAGGAAGGCAGGGCTTCATAGTCGTTTTGTGCTTCGATATCCTTAAATCTTTGATATATTAAGTTCTTTGCATGCTGCAACCCTCCCTCTAGCAAATTTTCAGGATCTAGCCCAATTGATTTCAATTTAACTACTACTCTAAGAGCCCATTGGGGATATGGTGTTGATGACAAAAGATCAGAAATAAGTCCCACCGGATTCAGATGGGACTTAACCCAAAAGTTACTCCTCTGTATCCAAATATTCAATGTAACAGTAGATAAACCTGCTTCTTGTCTTAAGCCCAAATTTGCAGTACCTTTTGGGGCGTTGAAGAGTGCTCTGAGAAATTTCGATTGTACTAACTCTAGATCTTTAAATTTATTCTCTGTAAGTATTTGTGTTCCATATATCATTTGTGGG